TATGGTGGCGGTGCTAGTGTCACGGGACAATTACCACGGTGACTCTAAGAAACAGCATTTGGCTAACTCTCGAGTAGAAGTGTGACAATTGTTACCAACGCGGATAACTGCGTATAGTTACGGATAGCACAACGACGAAGGAGTTTCACAGGGGTACAAAACTGGAGGACTCGCGAGAAAGTCCTCGAACCTTCTTGAACTTGGAATCCATCTAATGGCGAGGGTGAGAATGGTACCGCCACAGGATCAAGCACAGGATAGATGTAGTGTTTTCATTACAGAGGTGGAAAAAGAACCGGAGTGACCGTAGATATGGGGAGATATTCTCTCCAGAGAGAAGTGCTTTCTATCCTTTTCCTTGACGTTGTGAGAGCAACGATTTTTTCCATCGGCCGTTCAGGGATCTTCCTTAATCGTCCTCCCTCTTCCCGCAGTATCCTCGAACCGTTTTGCGTGACTATTTATCAACGTCCACCGCGTAACCGCGGCCAGATAAACAATTTCTCTCTCGCGAACGATTTTCATCCCTTGTTTCGTCATCCTTTCGTTTCCCTTCTCTTCCTTCGGTGCAATAATCGAGGGTTCGTTATCGAATTTTCTTTTTGCAGGACAACGAAGTCTTTTCTAAATGAAAATTCGGCAGGAGTAAAGATTAGAAGCTCGGGTAGGATTCAGATGACGCACAGTAGTGGGGTCGATGCACTGAAATGCAACAAGAAATATTTTTCAGCTGATATCACATATACAGGGTACTCCAACAACGGTAGTTCAACCGGGAAGTGGGTGATTCTACGTGAAAGGACAAATCGAAAATAAAGAATAAAAGTTTTACGTTCGTAGCTTCGTTTTCGAGAAAATCGACTTTGAATATTCACCGAGTACACGTACACTTAGGTATAGTTTATTGTTAGATGTCAGGATCATCGATGCAGCATACAATACAAGCGAGAAGAGGATGGTTCTACATAGATAAACGAATGGAATATAAAGAATAAAATTGTATGTATGCCTGAGTGCAAGATGTCGAATGGCGGAACGAGTGCGGGGTGCAAGGATGTTTCTAGGGAGTTTGATCACGTGACGGCATAACAAAAGGAACCGTTACAACAGTCCAGTCGAGTCTCGTCGGTCAATAAAGAAACATGTTGCAAACCAACGTCTACTTATTTCTATACCTCCATCGCATATTCCAATATCGAACTTAGTTATCGCAATACTTTTATAACACTGCCAATGTATGTTGCACTTTGACGTCTTATGTACGAAATAAAGCGACGGGTATCCATATGATATAATGATACTGCGTACTTAGAGAATATCGATTGTAGATTCTACCTTTCGACTGTCGATTGCGATATTTAGTTGACATAGCTTGAAAAACGCAGTTTCCTAATAGTTCTGGCAATTTTTCTGTGATTTTATCATGCGATGTACGAAATAAATTGGCGAGAGTTCAAATGATATAATAATACTGCGTAGTTACCTAGTGTCGATTGTAGATTCCAAATGTTACGATATCTAGTCGTCATTATTTCTTGCAAATAATTCGAATGCGTTACTAAGACATTAATCAAATATTTCTCTAATCTACGTGTAGATATTCCTCGAGAAATTTTTCATTAACGTGAAAGTAACGGTATAGGAATAGAAATTCTCGTTAACAGATATTTCACCTAACTAATTCGAGAAGGTAGATCCATGTTATAAGAATTGTTTAATCCCTTATTTTGATTCATTTGTGCAATCGATTACAGTTATCCGTTGATATCATAATTCCCTCGATTATAACATCTTGATTTCCTGCGCGTATCGGGATCAAAATATTTCAGTTCGTTGGTTCAATCGCTCACAGTTGCCCGTTGATGCTATAATTTCCTCGGTCATAACATCTGCTTGATTTCCTGCGCGTACACGTATCACAGTTGCGTCTCTCTGGGCCAAAATGACAAGCGCATTTTGGGATTCCCGGTGCACGGAACCCGATGGAGCTTACGCGTGATGGGTAGCTCAGGATCGAACGTAGAAGCTATCCTTCTTCGGCTACACGGTGAAAGAGGATTGAGGAACTTCGCTCGTAAATGTGTTTCGTTCCAACCCCTCTTCATTCTTCCCCCACGATCCTTTTTTCCTCTTGAGATCCCGCGGAACGAACTCGAGTAAAATTTCGAGCGAACTTCGTCGACGGAAATTTTGCCGTTTGGATTAGGCTCGGGTACGTTTCCACGTGGCTGTAGAAAGAATCGAAGATCCCATGTGCCTCCTATCTCGCTCCATTATTCATCCCCATGCTCTAGCGACTATTCAGCAACGCCGGCGATGCTCGAGAGCTGCGAATGCAATTTCTAGAGAACCGTTCCACGTCGGATACATGGGTGCAACTGCAATCCGCAATCGCGAAGGAATCCCTGCGGAGGAATTAAAGCTGACACGAAGAGCTCTCAAAATATCTACCCGCACAACGACACGACCGTGTTCGTGTGGCTACAAATAAGCGCACACGCGTATCCTCTCTCGCGTAATCTGCATGAAATTACGGAATGACGCGTAATTAGAGCGCTGGTGTTAAAGGTACGCTTGCAGCTTCAAACAGAGCAGGACCAAGATTCGGTAGAAAATTAAGACCGAAGGTCTTAACGTTAGTTGCGTCTGAAGATGTTAACACGTTGACTACCATGGTGGTCATCAGAGACCGGCGATTGTCTCCTCAATGGGGCCATGGTGGTCACCAATATCCGGCGATATTAATATTTTTAATTTATGTTTGTTTTACTCTAACCATTTTTTGAAAATTTGAACGTGTGAATTGGCTGAGGTTCCAAGCTTCGTCAGCTTGCCAGGGTTTCGAATGAAACGCGGATGGTGGGAAGATGTTAGAAAGATACAGCTCATCGAGACGGAAATAAATTGCAAATTACTCTTGTAATTAACTCGTCGTGTTGTCCGAAATATTATCATCGGTTCTTTGTTTCCGCATGTGCGTGAATTCCGTGCATCGAACATATACTGCTCTCTGTGCTCGTTATCGGTAATTCTGCTTTTCCTCTTTCCGTATCACCCTTTTTCCATTATTATCGCAATGATTTAAAATGCCGTAGAATGGTATTATTAATAGAAATCGATAATGCTCGAGAGAAGCCGTTTTATTAATTATGGTACATCATGGTAACGATGCTTTTATTTATCACAATAGCAATTCGATTTCAGGACGATTAAGCGCTATTTAAGAACTGCAGGCTTATCAAAAATTACCAAATTTTGTGCAAAATGAATTAAATAGGCATCTGGTGACAGAAAGTGTCATGCTACCCAGAGGAAGATTTATGATTAGAATGAACTATAAAATTGGCTAGATGATCTTTTAGATCACGTTCGTGACCTAAGCTTGCTAAGCAGACCATAGGACAATATCACACAACGGGAATTTAATAAAGGTGAACGCTGGAACATTACGTAAGATGTGGCTCAAAGAAATGAACGTGAAGCGTGCTTCGCATGAACATAAGTTATTTTTCCATTTTTTCCTCGATTTTTCGTTCTTTTTCCTAATTTTCCTTTTTTTGCCTTGCAACAGTCAACTTCTCTTTTTCGTATCTCTTTAACAAAAATTATCTCTATCGCGAATCCTTTCCTGTAGATATCTTTCCCCGATCTGAAGATTTCTCTTCTTTATGTGTATCGAATTTATAGAATTTATACGGGTACACTGTCTGCAGAATGATACAAATTGCACCTATATGACTGAGCCTTCCGATTTATTCACTGGAAAGTAACTAGTTTGCGACATTTATTGAACGTGATTAATTTGCAAATTTCGTCGATAAACATCCCTAATATCATTGTTTAAAAGGGAATATGAAAAGGTGTCGAAAGAACAAAATGTATATTGTACGAAATTTATTATTAAAAAATACATTTGCGTTTTATTTGCAAGATGAAATATTATACATTAGCAAAAGATTAACATCTTAAATATGTAATACAGCAAAACTTAATACTTGTTAGAACAGTGTTGTGTTGTGTTTGGTCAGTATACACGAGGATGAAATTATTGTTAAAAAAAAAGAACTTTCCGTCTTAATTATTATTGTTAGTCGTTAAAATTTTCTGTAAATTACAAATTTAAAAAATCAGTTCACTTGATCATTAAAATACCCTGTGATTAAGTCTCAAAAAAGTCCATGTTTTATTTACATTTTATAAAGCAAGTTCAATATCACATATGCATATATTTATATTGAGTATTAACAAATAGTTCGTATAGAAATCTTGAAAACTATGCTAACATTGTTTTAAATTTTAACAATTTATTCTATACTTTATTCTCGTCTTTTATTCGTGTCATTCTATAAACTCTCAAAAAGTTATTTTAACAAATTGGTCATTTTTAAGTACATATATGTTGATTATTAATTTTATACAATCAATACGTTTTCTTTGGATATTTCTAACAAAAAAGATAAAGAAACAAAAGAAAATATGTTTCGGAAAACATGTTTAACTTGACGTGAAGTAATGAATCTACGTACAAAAAATTTCGAGGTCAAAAGATGGTAATATCTTAAACGGTATTACCTTTTACGTATTAATCTATTATATTGTCTACTGATTAACTGGTTTAATTTACACGAATATATAACTTCCTGCTTAAATGTTACATACAGAAGTATATGATACATGCCTGTAGCTGTTGTAATTGGTCGCCATTCTTTTTTTTCGAACTAGAATAATCTCTTTAAGTTACAGAGAAAATAATTTTGTTATCTGTGACTAGGTGTGAATCGCTATTTACCAATGTTTCGTGTCAATACTAATTTCCATATTTGTATAGTATAGGCTAAATCATGAAGCTTGGTTAATTCCATCATATTAAAAATAAATCTCTAATAAACCAAGCTTCATTCGTAAATATTCCTAAGATAAATTTTATAGAAAGTATTTAAATAAAATTATTTAGAATAACATATATTTTCATTTGAAACTATAAATATACTTAAAATTTCGCTCTTTTTTATATACATACCTAAATATAAATAACGAAATACTTTAGTGTAGGATTTTTTAACTCCTGTAATAAAATAAAATTTTAAATGTATCGTATTAAAACATAAATTATCTAATATGATTACTTACGATTTTATTCTTATTTCTTCATATCGCACGTGCAATCATTTGTTACATTCTCCACACACTCTGATGGGCATTCTTCTTTCATTTTTATTTCTATGTCATAAATTTTTCTTTTTGCTTGTGGCCGTTCATATTTACAAATTACAGAATAAATATCACCGCCTAATCGAAGAGCTAACCATCGATTTTTGACAACTGCTAATTTTAAACATTCACAAGTCATTTTTGCATGAAGATTCGTGTGAAGTGTTCTACCCATTCCCTCTAATACTATAAGATCGACATTATGTTCCACCATTGCGAGACATAAGTCTAAACTCAGTCGGCTATTTTAAACATAAGATAATCCGTTAAAATCTATAAAACTTAAAATCTTATTCTTACATTATGTTAATTACCTTAAATCAAGGCAGGGGCCAGCTTGTGCTGTCTCCATAGCAATCAAACGATTTTCTTTTAGAGCATGTCTAATAACTTTACATATTTTTGCCGCATCCCGTAATGTTACAACCAACTCCGGATACGTGACATCATTTAATGCTGGCATAGAATTAGCGCATAGAATAACCTAAAGTAATTGTTATTTCAATTTAATTAATATGTTATAGTTAAATAAAGAAACATAAAATGCAACCAACTTTTGTTCCGCGTAACAATAAATCACGAGCAAATGGTAAAATTCCCAATACTATGTCAACACCGCTATTGTCAACGAAAATAGCAGCACATTTATGAGGTACACCAGTTTTTAATCGCTCTATCCAATCCTCTAAATCATCTTGTAACCAAGGCCTACCTAAGTTTAAGAAAAATATTACATTACTTTTATTGACACTGTCTACATCAATATGTTAATTAGTATCGTAAATGTTGCCAGTATGCAGCAGTACCCGGTATTTTTGATTGTGCTTCAGCAAAACCAAAATCTGTTGTTTCCATTAAAGTCGCAACAGCTTGTGCACCCCAGTCGAACATATTACCACTCAAAACTCCCAATATTAAAGCTTTTATTTTTTCCGTTTCTTCCAATTTATCGATAACCATTAGCCGATTTTTCAGATGTTTTAAAGCTTCTTCATTCTCTTTTTTCTTTTGCTATATATGAAGGAAACATAACAAAGTGCAGAAATTGATTAAATATGTATATTTGAAAAGAATCATAATATTGACAATATAAAAAAATATATTCAGAAAACTTACATGTAAGTAGGGATCAGGGAAATCAAACTCCTTCATACAATGTTCAATAGTATCCAATAATACTCTCACTGTAAGTGTCCCATAGGCACTGCAATATGTTATGATTGAAGATTATGTTATAAAATATAGAATAATAATATATCTTCATAAAATATTACAATTTTATTCTTGACCAGAGCTTACAATGGTTGAAGATGTAGATAATGCAGCCTATTAATATATTTTTCCTTTAATTTCGTCGCTCTATGTTTTGCGGTTGGACTATGTGGCTGACTGTGAATAGCTCTAGCCACAAATTTATCCACAGATTCTTCAAAACATTGAAGCCAATAATCTCTACAAATATTAGATATTACTATATATCAGTACAAAAATGTTTCATCCATAACTCACCTAGCTTCTTTGTCCTCTGCAAGATCAGTTGTATCAGGATTGTAAGATGCAGGGTCTTTCAAAAGTGGGCAAAATGTAACAGCAGTTTCTGCTTGATCAATTTCTAATTGATCTACTTTAATTCCAAGATCAGTAGATATTGAATCTTTAAAGCCTGAAGACCCTGCATAATTTTCTAACCAATTATATTCATCAGATTGTTCAGCACCATACAAAAATGCTCCAATTGCACCAAGATAACCTTCATGACGAAGGAAAAGAGGCTTTACTTTACCCTACATAAAATTTAACAAATTCTTATGAAATATATCAGTTTAAAGGGAAAAATTTTATTTTTGTCTACAGATATAAAGACATGTAATGAAATAGGAAATTTAAAACTAACATGAGACCAATATTTGACGGAATATGAAATAGTATGCATTGATAAAGGGTGGTTACGAAGAAAATAACCACCAAAGTAAACTTTATTTATATCATGCACAGTTGCATACAAACTTGCTATTTGTCCAATATCATTGCTTACAGTAAGCAGAAGACTTCTAACAAGATCTGCCTCAGAAAATTTTGGTTGCCCTAAAATATATATAAAAGAACTTATTTTTGAAGTAATCCAATTCATTTAGTCACTTCATAAATTGTTCCTCTCCTTACCTTCATTATTACAAGAAGTAGCCTTGCCAAAAGAAGCTGCAATAAGGTCTCCAGGTAAACCTTGTGAGGAATAATCACCTCCATAAATATCTTTTACTAACATATCAACATTACGATGATCTCCTCTTTCTGCAAGTTGCAGTAATTCATCAAAGCCCTAGTAGGGTATTTTCAGTCATTTTTTTTAAATATGTACTTAAGCGTTTTGGTAACATTATACATATATAAAAGATACTAAATCATATACATAAAGACACAAATATACATTAAAATATAATTAGCACTGATACCTTTCTTTTCGTAAGTAAAGAACCTAATCCCCAAAATGTTCCCCCACCTGTAGCTGTACCACCAACTCTTTCAAATACACTATCAGATTCAACCTGAAAATATTATATAGATTTAAATTTAAATTTACATTTAATAGATAAAATTATTTATTCACAGTGACTAATCACTTTGTTTGTAACTTACTTTAAGAATACTGACACCACTGCCAATGTTCACTAACATATATGGAAATATATTAGGACCAGCTTTTTGAAATTTATATTCAGGATTTCCATGTCTTTCAAATTCAAATGCTTCACATGATATATTTTTAAGTAAAAAATTACAACCTTTTATTAGACATGCAATTTCATCTTCTTTATCAACTCTAAAATAATGTTTTAAATGTTTTTACCTTCATGTTAAAAATATTTAGTATTAAACTGTATAGATTTTATCAAATAGATATATAACAAAACCTAAACATTATTCCTATATTTTAAAGTGCTTACATTAAACCTAATTTTTCTTGTAGCAAAGAATTATATTTATATGCTCCTCCACCTGTCACTTTAATGTTTTTACCATGAAATCTTTCAACATTTACTAAATTCTCTTTCACAAAATCCAAACAATTTTCAATGTATCTTGTTTCAAACTTAACAAAGTGAAGTCTATTGCCTTCGTGTACTTTGTATGCACGTTCTCCACTATTTCCTAAGCCTGCATCCTCATATAATGCTTTACGGTAACTAATTGTTGAATAGTAAGCTATTTTTGTCAAAGATAAGCCTGCAATTAAATTAAAGCCAAAGGAATCTTTAATTGCATTATTACAAAATCACAACTGTTCATTTTTGATTTTTAAGAAGTATGATAAACATATATATATATATATATAATCCGCGAAAAATGTTTAAGAGATAACCCTGTAGTAATTAAATTTATGCATAAATAATTGCTTTCAGGAAACGCTAATAGTGTATGTAACATAATACGTACCAATATCAATGGCAAATTTTTGAGCATTTTTTAAGTTTGCGAACACTTCAACCGCACTTGGTAATTTTATGGAATGAGTTTGTTCATTGTCGATTTCTAACGTTTCCATTTTACATTAACTTTAACAAAGCACTGTATTCTTCGAAACACGTAGATGATTTCACGACTAGTAGACGATATAAGAACTACATCACGTTAAATAGTAATTTTATCATTCTTTAAACATTCGTCAGTAAATATCATGTACATACGTTGACAGAAATTTTCCTGTCGCTAGAATATACATAAACGCACATGAATTAAATCCTTGTTTACCCCAAACTTATCGCGTTGATTTAAAAATGGCTATTAACAGTAGACAGATGGAAGCGCTCTTCCCGATACACGTGGCGCTAAAAATTTGACTGTGTTCAAAAACTACATACAGTGCAAATCATGTATAAATTAAAGGAATCAGATAACGTACTTCGATTATTCATACAATGTGATAATAGAGAACAGTACGATGCTCCAATGTTTTCCAGTAATAGAAAAAACGCGTGATATAAGGCTAATTCTTTTTATGCATATTCAATTTCGGTAACAATGTTTATCTTATCATTTGCAAAGATAATTTTCCTTATCGACATAACAATTATAAGGATTTATTCAATATATATTGGCTACATGTCATATATTTTTTTCCTTACTCAGTACACATCACAATAATTAAATATAAAATTTCATGAAAAACAATCGAATAAGATTTATGTAAAATAAATCGCATTGTATTTCATAACAATTAAAATATATTCAGTAACTTAGATTTTATACATATTCATAGAAAGAACGATTATGCTAATTTTTATCGTAATATTTATAACATATAATACAGTAATTTATGATACATTTGCAATTAAAATTAATTATATTACACTTTCACAAATATACTTGTAGTATCGCAATGTATATACAAAAATTCGTTGATTATAAAATAATTACCATCATCTAATCATATATAAATATCATTATCAAACACTATTTATGTAGTAAAAAAACAATATTATTATGAGACTACTTTTAAGTTTATATGTGTATGTATATATGTATTTGTATCTTCGTGTGCGCGCTTATGTTTGTACATATAATATATAGACTGGTGATAAAGGTAGTTAAGAATTCGTTGGAATTCATATGTGAATAGCAAGCTAAAAAATGTAGTAATTAAATTAATATACTTTGTATTATTTTATACGTAAATTTTTCTATGGAAATAGTCGTTACAACTAAAAATTTTTGATACAAAAGACATTTCAAGAAACTGTTGCTTAATTTGCTATATATTTATGTATGTATGTTTTATTAAAATTTGTATATTATTCCATAAATAAAATTATATGAATCGCGTAAAATTATTGACATATTTCTTTAAAGACATCAATTATATATTGATTATGAGTTTATATATTGCTTTATATATTAACAATTATGTACTAAAGCAAAAAATTGTAATCAATTATAAATCTGAATACTAACATTTTTAATTTTTAACAAAATTAAATAACATGTTTTCTTTTAGTTTTTTTCGCCATTTTTTTTAAACGTATTTCTTTTACCCATTATTATAAAGTACAAAACACATTTGAAATGCAACATCAGACATGTAATTTCCCTGATAAAGACCCTGTTTATTAAAATTATACACGTATTTTAAAATTTGTATTCAAGAAGACTTTATATTTTCTTCTTTTGATAAAAGAGGAATAGATTTAAATTTAACATTCTGTAATAAATTATACGAGCCATATGTACAAAATCTATGCGACACAAAAGGAATATAAAACGCTCGGAAAAATCGATGTGATCTAAAAAATGAGTAAAAAATTCAGTTAAGCCTTACTTTAACACAATAAATATTAACACAATAAATATTAAGTAACATAATAAAATTCAAACAAATATGTAGTTTACTCACTTTGCAGAATTTAAAAATTTGGACGATTTTATTATCGTGAAACTATCGCTTAATCGAGAATAATTTGGTTCTAAATTTGTTTCGGTACCAATATCCAGGTCTAACACAAAATGGCATTTATCTAAACTAAACTAAAATACAGGTTAAATACAAAATGATTAGAGTGAGCAATGTATAAATGCATAGAATTCACATCACTTGATATCTTTATATTATATTATGAATAAAAACTTACATAACGCGTGGGTTCCTCTCTATTCATATCATTAAAATAGGGTTGTATAATACTAGTTGCATTTTCATGGTCTAAATAAGGCTGAGGTAGCTGACCATTAAATTCTGATCTTAGATACTGTAGTTTCCAACTAAAGTATTTATATTTGAAATTATGAAAATTGAGTCAACTTATACTTGTTAAAGAAATGCGTTACTTACTTATTTGATGGAAAGAAAAAACTACTTGGAAATCGGTGCCACTCTTTACCAATACAAAAATTAATATTAACATCTTCAGGTATTTCTCTTTCTAAACTAAGTTTATTAGCATCAATCATTACTTCCATTGGCGCATAATAACCTAATATAAAATAAAAAAATTTCATTTTATATTTATTGATGTATTTTTAACTAGGCAAATTTTTTACCTTTATATATTGCTAATGATCTAGATATTCCAAGAAAACCACATATTAGGATAGCCAAAAACGTAATATGAACAGTATATTGTAAGTAATGATAAGCAATATGCAGAAAACTAAGCTTTGTCCTGATAAAAAAATATAGTTTTTGGATAGTATTTACAGCAATACCTCCAGCCAAACAAATCATTGGATATACAGGAAACAAAAATCGTTCTTCCTATAATCAAAATATGACTATAGATACTCTTAGTCATTAAATAGTGCAATTTGATTTACCTTATGAGGTTGTAAGAAAAACACTAAAAACCAAAGATATAATGGAGCTAATGAGTACCAGTAAGACAAACACAGATGATCTCTTGGCCTGGCTGGTACAATTAACCACACCAAAAACTGTAAGGTTCATTAATGTATTAATAATTATGAAATTCCAAACATGATAAATTTCATGAATATTACCAGTCCAAGTGGAGCCCAAAGTGCGCCAATAAAAACAAAATTAAAATTTAAAAATCCATTATAAATATAATAGCTGAAAGGTTCTGTTCCATAGATATTTGGTCCATGATGAGTAAAAACATTGTACATTACAATGTTTAGTGGTGCTATTACTAATTTGCCATAATACATTGAATCAATCCATATCATTGGTACCAAAACAACAGTACCAGATAAGATTACCCATTTTATAAATTTACTCCATTCC